AATGTTTTGAACAATGAGATGACTATTTCATATCAGAATAGAATATCATCATCATCATCATTGGCATAGCTTCTCTCCTCCGTAGAAAAAGTATCTGCAACTATCTTGAGTTCTGTTGAAGATCGGCATCGGGGCATCTCGCGATGAAAAGCGAGCACCGAGTGATATAACATGGAAAAAAATACGAGCACTCTACATTCTGCTTTCGTTTGGCTGATTGCTACCTATCTCTCATCGTAGTGATTGCGTCAGAGATATTTGCATGATTAAGATTATCGGAAAATTGAGCAGTAGAGTAAGTGGATAGGTAGAGCTAAATATTCTTGAATGAAACTCTTTCCGTTATGTTTCTCTGACAACTAGAATGTTGTACATAATGATAAGAGAAAATGGATTCAACATTTTGAAATTTGTGACTTTGATTGGAAATGAAGAAATTGAGTTGTTGCAAGAATTATAGTACGGACTGAAGAAAATTCTCCCGTTGAAAAAGACTTTGGAAATTCTTTGCATGAAACATTCTGTGTTGTTGTCAACGTTAGAGAGATAAGACATGGCTGAATAGATAAGAAGAATTCCGGATCATTTATTGACATATCAATTTTCTTCAAAGTGAGCGATGTCAATGATCGGTATGCCGTCGGACGAATAGTATTATCTGCATCCGGCATACGATTTTCGTTGAAGACGGAGACATGAAGATATTGCCGAATACTTGTTAGGACGATCACCGATTGCAGAAGACTCATTGAAGCCTTATCCCATTCTTTGTTCTCATGGACGCATACTATAACCGATTTCAGCATTGAAATTATCAAAACAGGAGTAGTGATTGTCCGAAGGTCGTCTACTTCGATATTCCAGAGTATCAACAAGCGAACTCGACTGAATTGTTGACTGAGAACAGAATGGAAAGAAAACGTACGGTACTATCTGCATCAAAAAGAAACTTCTCCAAAGTTAATGGGATGACATTTTCTGGTTGAATAATGCGATGTCGGTGTTGAATGTTGATCTTAGATGGGGCTGGGTGTGGGCATAGTTCTTCACTTAAGCCATGCTTACATCCACATCCACACCGCACCCTGATTATCTTATGCTGTGATTAAAACAAAGAAGCTGAATTTTTCTTTGGTATTAGAGAATAGTTTCAAATCTTTATTCTTATGAAAAAAATTGACAAATATATTGTCAAACCTATGAACCTTAACTGATCTACGATAAATTCTTTTTTTTTCATTTCGAAACCGATTCTTACGTGGAAACGAATCTTAGAAGATTAAACTTTTCTCATCCTATATTTTATTCAATAGTAGCGAATCCTTAGAATAAAATCAATGTTTAGAGAAGTCTTGATCTTGTTGTAATGTGACTGAATTATTGAAATTTTCGGCAACTCTTACTTCTAAGACTATCTAGAAACGTTAATATGTGGCAAAGTCGTATTTTCAAACTAAGACCTGAAAGTTCGCTAATATATAGGCCTCTATCAGAATAGTTGGCGTACAAAGTTTCAAAATTTTTGAGTCGTATTGGAGTGAATTTTTCAGAAGAATAAGAAACACTGTCTTCTATCATTGCAAAAAATATCTGAAACTGAGAATTTTAATACTTAAAAAATATGATTGAGCATACTTAAATGCAAAATCATGAATATTACAAGATTTTCGAAGAACAAGGAGTATTACTTCTCTAGTTTGAAAAACTTAGCCAAGCTGCAAGAGTTCCATTAATCTTATTACTGCGTTGAAATTGCAAGCGTTACATTCTTTTCTACATATTGTTCTGTTTTTGAAATAAATTAATTTAAATCTTTAACAAAGATAATCGAATGCAATGCATTGAAAAACTCACTTCGATTGAAATTAAACATAAAAACTTTTAGCAGCACTTCGATACAATTATTTCAATCTCAATTAAGATGCTCATCGAGTGATATTGTTTAATATCCTTTTGTTTTCAAGTTAAAAAGAAAACTTGAAAAAGCATCAAACAACAATGTTGGTCAATATTCGAAGATGAAAAAATATTTTTCTTTGCATACTGAGATAGTAAATGTAAATTTATGCAACAATATTTTATCGAAACACTTTCGTTAGGTCACTCGTGCAAAAACTCAATGGATAGAAAAAGTAAAGTCAACTTTAGAAGAATACTTCGCAGATCGGACATAAACTAATCATTTTTCAAAGGATAATGTATGAAAAAAAATTGTACACAACAGCATTTCAACGGCAAATTTCAGCGGAAAAACGATATTTTTTCGTTCAAACACATTGTGTTTTATTTCAACTTGTTAAACACATATTTTGTTTATTTAAACCATGTTTCTTCAGCTTAAAATGCCAACTGAATACATCCATTTGAACGCCTTTTTCAGAGAGCATGTTTTTCTTTTCAATCAGTGCTACCTACAATATCGTTTGAATCTACTGAAAACATGATATTTTTAAAAACGCATTTTTCGGGAAAAAAATAGCGCTTTCACAAGCAAGTTAAATGAATACCTCGATTCGTATTCTAAGTAAAAGCATCATTTTACGAAGTAAGAATCTGTAATATGCTGGGCAGATATCTCGCAGTATAACATTGGGTGTGGGTGTCGGGCTAGTTTGGATGGAAACAAAGCCGATACCTACACTCACACCCACACACAGAAGTGTTCACATGGCATGCCAGGGTAAGGTGCTACTGGCCTGCGAAATTTTCACATGCTTAAAACTAGAGGAGATGAAAAAAAAGTTGTATTCATTGGATCACTTCACAAGCAATCAAATAATAAATGATTAAACATTCTTTTTGTCAGCTTTTCTGTCCTACTTGAGATCAATTCTACGCAAAATTATATTAATTATTTTTACAGTAAGCCGAAAAAGTATTCTTCCATCCCATCCTTCTGTTTTCTTGAAGAAAAGACGGCAAAGAAAGTCAGCCGTGAAAATTTTTCTGCGTACATTATTAGTAAGGTCTACTGAGTGCAAAAAAAATAAACGAAGTGTAGATGGACGAATAATCTTTCGATTTACTATATTTTCTTTACATGAGCTTAATTTATTTCTTTTCTGTGAAATTATTAACTATTTTTGATTATATAGTGATAGTGAATAGAAAAAGAAAGATTTCCTACTATAAATCGAAGAAATAATCTTTTGACTTTGATCTTATCAAAGTATTAAAATTATGTCTTAGCTAGACAGGGCAAGAATTTTTTTTTAATCTGTTGCCCTGTGGAAACTTCTGATAGATTCTTCAACAAATCTCAAATATAATTGCCCAGAACATTAGACTTAAGTAAACTTCTATCAATTGTTCAACAAATCACCTTAAAACTTGAGAGTGCACATTGATTCGTCGTCATGATTATAATTAATCAGTAGTATTGTCCTGAAGATGATATCTTAAGGGTGAGAATGGGTGAGAGTAAAGATGGATGAAGTTCTTTTCCTCATCTCTATCTTCATGAGAAGGTGTATAAACATATCATGTTCTTGTTTTGGCTCCACTGAAATAATACGGAACACAATGCTCTTTTAAACAGAACTTGTTGTTGAATATCGCCAAAAATACGATTGTTAGCAGTTTTTGTACTAGACTAAGATGGAATAGTAGGTTAAATATTCTTAAATTTATTTGTTGCTTCTTCAAAATCATTGATGGTATTTTTGAAGATCAAACCTAATTTACCTTCTCTAAATGCAAAAGATTTCAAATAGATTTGTTTCTAATCAGAAGAAACATTTCCTTACATTCATGCAACAAGAAGATATTCATTCATTGTGACATTAAACTCTGGTGAATCTAAATATTACCAATAAAATCTAAAATAAGTAATCAACATGAGTCTTCTCTCGATTTTTGTATAGTTCATTACTTTGGTATTTTCCAATGGTACAATGCATATTCATTGGTTTCTTGAGACTTAAAATCAACACTTCTTTGTTCTCATCATTATGAATAGCATCTTCCGATAAACAAATATCGAGCACTTGTAATCATAACTAGAAAAAAAGAATTTTTATTTCTATTTGATGAAATTATATTTTACATTATGCCTGAAATCATATGTAAATTTTCGTAAGACGAAATCGTGGTTAGTTGAATAAATGACATAAATCAGAATGAAAACTATTATCTGATTTTAACGTTTTCGATAGGATCTATCTGAAATATATACGTTGTCAAGTAAGCAATGTTGTCTAACTTGGATAATTTATTATCGTTAATTCCGAATAAACGATGCTTTTTTCTCAATTTATGAAAAGGCAGTGACAACAAACATTTTCTCCTTTTTTATTGTTTAGACCCATTGTCCAAGACGTCTTTTTATTTTCATGGCAATGAAGTTTTCGACTCAAAGGGAAATTTCCTAATAAAGAAATAGTTTAGACGGTCTACGACTATTTTTCCCAATCTTGTCAACCTTGAATCATATCGAGTCTGTATTCCATACTTTATTCGTAAAAATTCGATTATCAACAACAAAATACATTGACATAATATATTTTTGTTGTTGAAATCAACAAATAAAACTAATTAAGAGTAAAACCCCAAAAAGGAATCTTGTTGTCGATTTCTTTTCTTAACTGCTCGTTTGTTCTTTGTTGTTATGTGTCCATTCTCAAGATTGTTTGTCGAATCTCTCATTGCAGCATTTTTTCGTCCATTGATCTCAGTCAAAGAGATTGGTTCATAAGCATCCTCACCATTGCCGAGTACACCCAATTCTACGCACTAGCGACGAGCATTTTCTGTTCTCAATTTATCAAACTTGTGTTCGATCACCAATCGTTCATCGCGTAGAAGAGGATGTGTGGGTGACGGTTTGTGAATTAATTTGACCAAACCACCAACACTCACACACGCCTACACCCACACCCATCCACACCCACATTTGCACCCACAGTCACATTCGCAACTACACCCACACCCACACCCACCCGTATTATTCATCAAGGCATAGGATATTTGCTAGTTTCAACTTCTTGTACGAATATTATCTAATGCAAAATGAAAAGCCTTCTGAAGCTATTAAATACTTGGAAAAATCACTGGAAAATTCATATTTTTCTTCTGATAAAGACTTTCGTGTCACTGTTTATACTCTATCAGTGATTATTTATATTCAGTCTAACAATCTAGATAGTGCCGAAGAATGTTGTCGTCAAGCTCTTAAATGTCAATCACCAACAAATATCAGTATACAGGCTGATAATTTATTAGCAGAGATTCCACAGTTGAAAATCATTGTCAAATACCAAAATCCAGACTATGCCCGTCAATTCGTTCGTGCTAGTTTTCAATTTTTCTCAACAGTTGGTGTTAATCATGTCACTGAATTCGAGTATGCTTCCTACATCAATCGATTCCAAACTTCTACCTATGATGAGTTGATCACCTTCGCTGATCATTACCGTCATCAGCAAAATTATACACGTGCATCAACATACTATAGTAAAGCTGTCAAAAATATGACAGAAATCGATTCCAAACTGATGTGGAATGTCTACAGAAAGATGGTAAGAATGAAACATGATGATGAAGATCGATATCAATATCATGTTATCGAACAATATTCGAAATATGATGATGATAATCCAAAACATTTTGAAATCATTGCAACATTACAAATAATCATGTACAAATATTGTCTCACTCAAAATGAACATAATCTTGCATTCGATTGTTTAATACAAGGTATCTTCATGAAAATCAAATGCTTGTATCATCAAATCAGTATCGATTCTAAGTATATTTAGAATTTACTGGATCGCTTCGTCCATCAAGATCAAATTACTACGATTATGCCCATGCTAACCAAATTGATTCAAATATATTCGTTCAACTGGGCTGTGTTTGTTCGATGTTTTCTATCAAAATCAGTATTTTTATTTCTCTACACTTTACTACAATCTCTTCGTCAGAACATAACTCTACGAGAGAAATCGACGCTCTCATTTGAAGAGCAAATGTTGAAATTTCTTACAAACTTTAATGGCGAAAATGCACCTTTTTCTATTTCATGAAAACAATAGAATCTTTATTAATCGGTAATACACAAAGTTTTCTCTTCAATCTCGATCAATTTTAACGCAATACAATCACTGCGGAACGTTATCAAGATCTAAAAAGAAAGCTATCTTATCTATTTGGAAAATTGGAAGAAGATCAATTGTACACATATTTAGAAAATAACGCGAAAAATTCCTGAATTCGACTATGATTCAGCATTTGCCAATACAGTTCTTTTCTTCTGAAGCAAACGCTTTTCCTTTGGTTCGTGAAAATAGTTTTTCACTTTTTCTGTAGCTGATTTTCTGTGATATTATTAAAAAAGTGATCAGGAGATCACCATCCAATTCGGCTACATAAAAGTTTTCAATTCACAGTATAATTTATTTTTTCAAGAAAATAAATCGGTGACTTTCTTCAAAAGAAGCTATCAACTGTCATTGAAAACGGCAAAGCAATGTAGGACATGTCGTAGCAAACATGCGATGTCAATTAGATGGGTTCATTTTTAAACAGATCGAAGAAAATCAATTTCGAACTCGAATGTCAGATACCGACTGAATTTCGAAAAAGATCTTCGTAGAGAATGTCTCTACGAAAATCGAATCGTTCGAATAAGCTAATTGAGACTTTTCACTGCTTAGAACGAACAAGGTCAATTAGATCTGTGAAGAGATATGATTTGGAAAGATCAATTTGTCAAAGTGAGCTTTTATTCGTTGTGTGATTAGTGTCGACATTTTCACCTATGGAGATGCCAACAAATACCAGACATGAACGTCAGAAACTATTCCATATACCTAACTTACTCGCATAGATTTTAGAATAGTTTTGTTGCAACATTTCGTCAAATTCTTGAACTTTGTTTTCCTTGTCAGACTGCTGCTGGTGTTTTACTGATATCTTTACCTTACCACAGATCTAAATTGATCGCTCGACAGATAAATTCCATCGAAAGGATATATCAAAGTTTGTACCTTTCCAATTTATGAAGTATTCCTTGCTATAACCTTGAGTTTATTTCAATTGAAGGACAAATTGTAACGAATTGTCAGAATAATTGTTTCTGCGTTTCGGTACAATGTTTCAATGACTGATCAATTCATTGTTAACCCAATTTTTCGTCTATCTGATCGTTTGTATGATGTCTTGTAGTTGACTTGAAGTAGCTTGTGTATCTAATTGAACTGTGAACCAAAATAATCGAACGGCTTGTGAATAAATCACAAAATAATAATCGATTGATGAAATCAATAGAATTGCTCCAGTTTGAAGTTGACTTTGATTATCTAATTCGTCATCCGATGTTTTGAGCAATCATAAAAGAGTGTGGGTGGGTGCCGGTGTGGATTAGAAGACCACAACACCCACACACCCACATCCTTGTTGCATCCCTAGATGAACGGCGATCTATCATTAATTACTTACTGCCAGTGTCAATTCAACTGATCGGTAGATACGGTTACAGTTTTAGCCTCAGTATAGGCAAACTGTTTAGATTGACATTCCTCAATACACAACAGTTATATGCTACCTATGAATGTTTATTGTACAGGGTTGGAAATAATATTTTTCCAGGGGGTTAGTGCTTTAATTTTAAATAGCATATACAATGAATCTTATCCCAAATGAAAACTGGTGAAAAATGGGATTTAGGAGTGTAACTGTCCATTCGCAATATGAGAATAAGCAATAAAATTACGGATAGTTTCAAATTTTAGATACAGAATTGGACATTTTCACGGATAGTCACCTACTAAAGCACCAGGTTTCTTCGCCTTTCACACTTTATAGAGCTTTCTTGGCTCATCATTTTGATTGAAAATATTTAAAATTTGATCAATAAATAATGATGCTAAGGTCAAAATACTCATAAACATATTAGCTTTATCAGCTACAGCAGCTTGAGATTGTCAGCATTTTGACTCTAGCATCGTTATTTATTTATCAATTTTAAAATATTTTTTTTATTACAATGATTAGCGAAGAAATATAAATTGTGAAAGGCAAAAAAAATCTGATGTTTTAGTAGTTGACTGTTTGTGGAAATGTCCAATTATCTATCTAAAATTTGAAACTATCGGTAATTCTAGGGAATTGTCATAAAGTATGACAAATATCTTCACTGCTTTTTCAGCATAGAATAATTTCTAAAACTTTTTCTCGTCGAACTATTCTTCTCAAAACATTTTAGTCACTTTGTTGAGGATATCGAGAACATTTTGTGTATGAATTAACCATATTTTTACTCGCGCATATGATAAATAGAAACATCTTTATATCGAGTTTGAGACTAGATCATTGTTTTTATAGTTTATTATTATCCTCAACACAATTGAACATAACTAATCATTGATACTTGCTAGACTTGACATTGATTCGATTCCTTTTCTACCCTCCATGTCACTTGTTCTCTAGAAAGAATATTATCAGTGGAAAGTTTGAGCTTTTATTCAAAACAAAAACATCTGAAAACATCAACAACTATTCGTTTCTGGCATTATGTTGAATTTTTGAAGTCGATCATTTAATCTCTCGCTTACAAACAAATTTCCTTCCTTGTCCAATCCTATACTATGAACCTCGCTGAATTTTCCAGAATCAGTCATCCATTCTTTTCCATCGGCTATTACTACACCACTAGACGCATCTGGAGCCCATTTCATGATTCGATTATTGCTAGTATCGGCTACGTAAACATTACCATACTGATCGACTTCGACATCCCAAGGATCACTAAGTTGATTAGCATCTGAGCCTTTTCCATTACCTCCAGCAACAGTAAAACCTTCAGTTGCACCTTTCTTCCATTTTTGTATTCGGTTATTCCATAAATCGGCGATGTAGATTGTTTCACATTGATCAATAAAAATCCCACGCGGTCCACTTATTTGATCTGCCTTGGACCCACTAATACCAGTGCCTGCTACGATCACACCTTCACCTTTCTCAGGAATCCATTTGACAATACGATCATTGTAAAAATCCGATATGAACAATGCGTTTGTTTCTTCATGAACGAAAAGACCCTGACAAGCACCTATCTGATTAAGACCTGTGCCTTTGCCATTTCCCCCAGCCACTGTAACACCACTAGTCGCACCTTTTGCCCACATTTGAATACGAGAATTGTCAGTATCTCCTACGTATACATTTTCATTTTTATCGACATAAACAACCCAAGGCATATTTAATTGATTTGTGCCATTACCCGCACGATTGCCACCAGCGACAGTGATTCCAGCACTGCCAATAGCTTTGAGATTGAACTTCTGAACTCGATGATTGTGAGTATCAGCAACATAAATATTGCCGCGTTCACCATCAACAAATAAGCCAAACGGGGAGCCTAAATGGAATTCATCGTATCCGAATTTCATGTCGGCACCAACAATAGGAATTCCTTTTGTTGACCATTCAGTCATTTCATGACAGTTCTTCTGGTTTTCATGATCACAATTAATAGTAGCTAAATAAAAACAAGACTGATTAGCAAAGCACATCATACACGACTTTGATGATTTATTTTGACTTTGAATGAAAAATTAACTATTTGATTTAGGACATAAGTCAAAACAAGAATCGACATACGTTTATGAGTATCCCAATCACAAACTTGTATCTGTTGATTCCAAACTAATCCAGCTGGGCATTGCATCAAATAATTTATGCCGTGTGCACATTGATAGAAGGAATGCGTATTGCTTGGGTTAGCAAAAAGACCATCACCAGAACATTGAAAGCCATGAGTAAATGTGCGTAATGACAAACATGCAAGCACAACTATTAACTTCATTGCCGTCATCGGATTGTATTGAATAACAAGAAAGAAACACCAAGGACAACCATTTTCTTTTTATTCTTGCGATGATATCGACTCAGCGAGGAGCATGTGGTCTACTTCTCAAATAACAAAATCATACGTAAGAATGATGCGAATATTTTTTTTTCTATTCGGTGCATCGATAAATGCCAGTAAAACGAAAACAAGAAGCGTCATCAACTGCAAGTCATATTATTTGGAGAGTCATTCGAGCCTTTTCATCATGGTAGATCGATCTGATGTTTCGAAACTTTCTTTCGAGTCGACTCAGTTCTAATATTATCACACGGTAGTTTGTGTTGAAGTGATACCATTTGATTGCGAAGAATGTACGATTGCATCTACAGCATATCGAAATCCTTATTCCGGATAGAAGAATGCCGTTACATGCATCATTGCTATATACACGATTGAGAAACGTACGCGAAGCAAGAACATATTACTAGATTCAATCAGTATTGTACTTTATTTAATTATTCGATTTCAATTTTTATATTTAGTGTCAAGATAAAGCATTCTGTTCTTGCTGTTTCAATGCACAGCGCTTTCTCGTTTCGAGATAGGTGCCTGTGTGAGTATCTTTCGGTGATATGAAGCAACTATGACGAATAATTATGTAGATGTTGATGTAAAAAAAAGATAATTTTGTTGTCGATAAAATTTCTAAATCTAATCTGCTTCAAATGTTATGTTTTACTTGTCATAGTTTTATCAAAAGAATCCAAAAGGAAAAGAACTGAACTCATAATTTTGCGATTAACATAGTATGATTTTATTTAAAATTGGTGAAAATTAAAAACAAATTGTTCTTTCCTCATTGACAAAATCCGAGTTTATTTTATAGATTTCTAGACTTATTATATAGAAACGATACAGAAAAACTTAAGTGCAAGACGACACCATTTGATTTTTTTCCAAAAAAATTGCAAAATCTCGAAAGACACCATCTATAAACCATCAAACTTTCGTTAAAATAATATATTAAATTGAAACTTAATTTGTCTTAGCAACTTTCGGCAAAAGAAAAAGGGAATGTTTAAGCTTATATTTATTTGTATTCGAGTTTGATCTGACACAAAGATGATATTTAAAATATGAATACATTACGTTGTTAAGTTTTATTTAGTTATATTTCAATGTCTTCTCTTAAATTTTGATGCTGAAAAACTTAAAATATTGATTCGTTTGTTGATAAAAATAATTTTGAGCATCAGTTTTCATGTCGATTCAAAAGAAGTCATTCGAGCATAAATTAACGGATAGACCAGAATAAATGAGCCTCTAGGTGTTTTGTGAATATCTCTTGCAAATTACGACATACGTACTTGAGTCTTATGATAAAAAAATAACCCATGCAATTCTCTAAAATACCATAGGAAGAGATCTTTCAATGAATCTCTATGAAATTATACCTAGTGAATCCTACGATACTTCACAATGATTCACTTTTAAATGTCCACTTTTATAAAACTAATAATTTCATTGTTTTTAGCAAAACAGACACAAGACCTTACTCTAGAGCAAGTTTTCTGTGTTTTCAGATATATTTTTCCTAATAGAATTCAAAAGAAGATATTCAGATATGATTGTCAGAATCCAGTGGTCAGTATTCTTGAAAAATCAATTGCAGCTAATCGATAATGGAAGATTCTCAGAACACAAATAGAGAGAAGCAAAGAGAAATTCTTGTTCAGGTAAATTTGCAGGATGTCAAACAGGGTGAGGGGGGTACCGGTGTGCCTGATGATAGAAAAAAAAACACACCCACATCGACACACTGTCGAAACAAAACGACTCGAATGAAAATTTCCTCATTCGTTTCAGTCTTTCATGTGGTATACTCCATTAATAACAAACAAAATGAACAAGATGAGATAGTATAAGTTGTCTATGTATAGGTTCCCGTAATGTGTCTAACGGCAAATATACACAGAGAAGAAGAATGTACAGAACATCTGCTGCTCCTGATATACATACTACCTTAGACTTTCTTAAAAAAAAAACAGATTGGATAATGTAGATTTTCCAGAAGAAATAAACACTTTCCTTCTAATATATGAACGGCTATTTTAAATTTCAAAGGAAGAAAAAATGTCTTCATTCTATATAGAACGCTATATAACTATGCAATAAAAACGACAGCTCTATTAATTGAAATGACATCAACACTGTTTGAGTTTCTTCTTTCTTCATAATCACGAATAAACAAAAAAAAACACGTTTTGCGGTTAATCACAATCATACAGATAACTATCCATAAGGCCATTCATGATCGTCATATGTCACATTAAAATTCGCTTTATTGACATTGAACAGGGAAGACTCGACAGGCCATTGGCCGATCGAAAACAACGCGATAAATAGCTGAAGGGAAGTAAAGAGAAAAAGACAAGGTTAATCTTGATTGATCATTTCTATTGTTCACGTTATTATCATTTCATTCGCATATCAAATACAACGTCAACAATAACAGCAGCTACATCGTGAATATTGAACTTGAATTAAAATTTTCTTTTAATTCTTCGGTAAATTTTTTGCATATTTCGTAGATGGACCACAATAGATTGTCACTAGAAAAAAAAAACGTTGTGATTTTTCTCTTCATTGATATTAATTTATTCTTGGAATCTTTTTTGAGTTTTTTTCTTTTTTCATTAGATCAAGTCAGATAAAATCAAAAAAGCATGGCTTCATTCAACAAATATGTTACTGCTATTGGTTGTGACAGAATATTCAATTATTCTTGGTCGAGCTATCCAGTCATAAGAAAGATTAGAGTGTGAGAGAAAATGCGACTGAAAGAATTGATATCGTTTCATATAATGAAATCAACATCGAGAACAATGTTTGTCCAGCTGTACGGCCAAGAATTTTCAATAAACGTGATGATGGTCATGGAGAACTTGTTTCGTTAGTATTGATTGATTTTCGTGGTTCACATGCTGTTTATCGAGTAGGCAATACGCTCGGTCTTGGTTAGTTTATTGTGAATGTAGTAATCGTTCATCAATATGATTTATAGATCGAGAAGATAATATATCTGACAGTTTTCAAGTACATTCGCCAGAATTATTTCCTGGTTGAATTATACCAATATGTGACACTATACAATTTGATGTAACATTCCGCATCAGTGTATGTATAAAATCTGTTTGTCTTCAAAAATGAACAATTATCAATATGTCGTAAAATTATACTGGAATTTTTAGGAGACTCTTCGACCTTGTCCAAGAATGGAGAGTTCTAATGATCAAATGGAAGAAAATAGCGGCGAAGAGAATAATGCTATGGATCAAGACCAAGCCAAACTATTGTTGTTATTACTGGAATTAGAATTAAATGACACAAGATGGTAGAAAGGAAAGTAAACCTATAAGATTGATTTACAGCATGTCTTCGTTTTGTTTTATCTTTGTCTTTTTTTCTTGTTTTTTATTTCAAAATTGAACACTGAGTAAATTTTGAACGGATGTTCTATATTAGATCAAAAATAATTATATTCTACGCGCTATTTAGGATGTGCATAGATGTAGGTATTGTTGAAGAGAAGACCCGTACTCACACCTTGATAAAAGAAAACAAAAAGAAAGAATCATAGTTTTCTGTATTCAATAAAATGAATATGAGTTTCGAAAATATTCCTTCATATAATATAAGAAACCTATGGTATATGAACATGTGCAGTTTATGTGGTAAAACAAGTAATCAAACTCAATCGATTCTTGAAGTTTAATAATACTTAAAGACGAATTTTTTTTTCATGGAATATTATATTCAAAAGTTTATAATAATATTGTATTATCGTGCACCATTTGTTCATATGC